CCACATGAGAACAGCAATACAGGCATGCATCTTAACACTAAGTAAACTCACTTTTTATTTCCAGAAGATAATTTTTAAAAATTTTTATGATCCCCTGAGGAAGTACCAGGCCACTGTATCTTCCATCTAAGTGGCATACCCTGCTGAGTGAATCTCACAAATACTTATATGGAAGACGGGTTGTACTTCTCTTACACAAAGCTAGAATCAGATATATACAGTTATGCTGTGATTTAGTTAACTCTTTTGTTTATTTGTTTGTTTGAATACAATTGAACTCCTTTCTTCTACATCAGTACACCTGAAGCCATAAATAGGTAATGGCTTCAAATGATTTCCAACGTTGATACACTATTGAAACCTCATGTGTCCTGAATGATGTGACCAACCCCTCAGTACTCCTGCTGCTGGTGCAGCAGTTGTCCTGTGATGATGCACCTGGTTCTTCTTGGGGTTCTTTTGGTACTCCCCATAATAACTTCCAGCTCTGTTTCATTGGCCAGGTAGGCCCTGTAGCATTATTCCCAGTAAGTCTGTGTTTCTGCAGTTGTCAGCAGTTCCTGATAGTGTAAGTCCTCAGCGGAAACCTCAACTGTAGGAATTTTTAAAAAGTCCTGCAGTTTTTACTATGTTTGAATACCTGTTCTTCCAGACCATTCTTATGAGCATTTACTGCAGTAAATAGTAAACTAAAATTAATAACTCTGTACAAAACATTACTTTCAATGAAAGTCTTTGCTCACAGTTTTTATCATTGCTTTTTGTGTGATCATTTATTTTCAACTTCTCTTTGGCTTAAATTTTTGCTCACAGTTTTTATCATTGCTTTTTTATCATTGATCATTTATTTTCAACTTCTCTTTGGCTTAAATACTAGCATTTTGTAGTAGTTGTATTCAGGACAGTCAAATGGTGTATGCTGTGTTAAAGGTTGCATTTTTAGTAGAGGTTTCAATATTTAATAGATGTTGCAATAATAAAGTTTTATGGCAGAAGTTATTATTGCCACAACCTTTCTTTCTTGATTTTCCTTTCATGACAATGTACATGAGTGTTGAGTGTCTGTTAAGATTGCAATGTTCTCACCCCAATACAAAGAGCTTATGATTTCCACCATATCATACAAATTTTTGGATATCCGTGTAATTTTTCCTTTAGTAGGTAAGGATTACAGTGACTTACTCTCTCCTGTTGTAACTTAACTCTGTGCACTAAATATTATAGCATCGCAGATCCTTGCATTGTTGATAAGAGAACCAGAGGTGAATTCCCAGATGATAGAAGGCCCAGCTCCCTGGGTACTACTTTATTCTTTTGTTTTGTGGTTTGCTTTGGTTCTTTTTTCTACATTTAACCATCTCTGTGATTACTGTTTAAATGTAGGTATGATTACTTAACATTGCTATCAAGTTTTTGCCAAGCTACCTATATTTATGAGCTGTAGGGAGGCATGCCCAGAGAAATAATTTTTTTCAAGTTGTCCTCAAAAAAAAACTAAACGGGTATCATACTCAATCTTTTGAACTGTCGTCTTCTCACAGTAATCAGTCAGTCACCATGTCATTGGATGGATGTTGTTATATTTTTACACGTTTATATCATCTTTGCACAAAACTGAGCTGTTTGATATATTAGTTGCAAATGTGAGGAATTATTTTTCAAAGAAAGAAGTCTCAGCTGTGGTTAGGAAATGGTTGAAGAAGAGTTTGAAATCTCTGCCATCAAAGCTGAGGTCCCTCTCTGAAGGCCTGTGATGCAAATCAAGTTCAGCCTGGGAGTCTCACAGGCCTGAATTCCTGGACATAATTGCCTTTCTAAACACATTATTTCTCATTCTTCCCATTCAAAATCAAAGATGGGATTAGTGATGGTGCTAGTTTGTATCTTTATAAAAGTATTTCCTTGAAAGTGGAAAAACTTCTATATCCTCAGATTCTGAGCTGTAGCAGGAAGGATCATGATTTATTCTAGTGCTTTGTGTAAATACTTTAGGAAATGTGGATTGGAGCCAGGATTCTCCTCTCCTGGTCAGATTCCACCATATCAAGGGAAATTCTTCTAACATTCTTAGTCATGGGGAATTTGGTGTACCTCCAATGCATAGCCCCTGTTAAAAATCTCTTCTTGAGTTGTATTAATTTATTATTTCAATCTCTCAAGGCAAAGAAGATATTAAAGCTATTACATTTTAGTCTATTATCATCACAATCAGCATCATATTTTGAATCAGAAGTGGCCAGAGATGTTTGATCAGTAACAAGCTTAATTTTTTCAGGTTATTAAGCAGTTCCTGAGCATGTCTAACTTAACCCATTTAATAGCAGAATAAAGAGATGCTTCCTTTGTAAAACTCAGGTGGAAACCAGCTGCTAAAACACATTTTGCCATAAAATCAAGATCCTGAACCTCTTGGGATTGGAGCAGAAAGTGGATATTAGCCCTTACTCTTGAGACTCAGCACAACCTGCTGGCATAGCCATAAGCTAGAGACAGTAGCTGCAGAGATAGTGCTGTTTCACAAGGGCAGGATGCCCTAATGCATACAGGCCATCAAGTGACTCACTATGAAGTATTCTGGAAACTATATCCACAGGAGATGTGGTGCTTAAGAACATGGTTTAGTGGTAGGTTTGGCAGTGCTGGGTTTAACAGCTGGACTTGAAGATCTTAAAGGTCTTTTTCAGCCTAAATTATACTGTGATTCTCTCTTTTTTTTTTTTTTTTTTCCCCTCCTAAAACGTGAAAACTTGCTTTTCTCCTGAGGAATCATTTCTGTCTTTATTGGTAGGATTTTCCTTTGGTGCATTAGCAGAGATTACAGGCGAAACCATGGATTCCCTTCTAGAGCACAGAGCAGTGGGGATAAACACTAGGGAAGTGCTGCACCAGCACAATCCAGGATTTTCAGTACTATCTTTTAGGACCTATTACTGTTTGGCAAAACTTGATTTTTATTCTATGGCTTGTTGTCATTAATAGAGATGTTATTCAGTCCAGGATCAGAGAGTAAATATCCCGGGTGCTAAAATCTAGAAAAAGAAAATAATGTCACTGCCATTGTATAAAAAATTTATACTAACTGGATAGTAGAATAGTAATGTTCTACTTTCTACGTATAAAATTCTGCATTTGTTTCAGGAAAAATATTTTCAGTCAAATAGATCTTGGGGTTTGTCATATGTTGTGAATGCAGTTGAACTAGTTAGGGCATGGACGTTTTGTAGAGTGTACTAGATAAAAAAGAACAATTCTTTTCAAGCCAATGAACTATTGTTTCAAAAAAGCATTTTATTTTCCTTCAAGAGACTAAAATCTTTCTTGTGGTTTGTTATGGTTCTTTGAACAACCTTTTAAGGCATATTTGTGATAGATTCTCTACTGTGATTTTTTTTGTATTTGGTCTATTGAAAGAGACTTGAATAGCCTGAGGAAGCTAAGTCAGGAAACATAGAAATCAAGAAAACTTGAAGTTGGTACTTCAAGCTGAACCAGAAGCTAGTAGAATTCAATTTTTGTTGAAAGAATGAAGTGAGTATTTTTCTTTAAAGAACAAAAGGCTTCCCCCCCCCAAGAATTCTGCTTCTGTCTTAATAAATTTTGGTTTCTGTATATTTTGTGTAAAATACGAAACAACACTTAAATTTTTGATTTTTCAATGTAGTTTTATAATCTCTATAGGAAGGGGTGGATTGAAAGGGAAATTTGACCTCCAGAGAAACTCTGAAGAAGTTTGAGCCATAGTCTTCATTTAACAGTGATGAGGAAGGACATTTTCATGCATGCTATACTTCTGAGTTGATGGCAAACTGGTCTCAGGTTCAGATATCAGTTCAGATATTGAGAAGAGGCTTTGTGCTAGCTCAGCATGCTTGAGGCTACTGCACAAATTATGTTGTTCACAAAATTCATTTTAACATTACAGTAAGACAAGCAGAAAGGTGAACAGAAGCTTTATGGGTGTCAGCAAGGTGGTGATTGATCTGATTTTCCCTTTAATAGAGAAAAACAAATAAGGAGAGATCATTTCAATGACACAAGTCAATGAACCAGGTGAAACTCACTAGAAATTAGGGAAATGGTTGGTTGTATTGACACTCCCCAAGAATTTTTCAGCAGTATACAAATTAAGTATCAAAATCCAGATGTACAAAATCCCATATTAAAATTGTAATGTACTCGATAATAGTTGTCAGACACTACAAAACAGTGTACAATATATGCTTATTTATTAATTTGTTATGTACCAGTCACATTGGTAATGCTTTTTTGCATAAAATTAGGGATCTTCAACAGGGTCCTACTGAGTTTTGGGGAAGTCCCCAAAAATTGCAGCTCCAGCACATGTGAAGCTCAATGTGACTGCACAGTTCAATTACAATTTGGGTTTTTTAAGTGGAACTTCGATACATAGTGTTTCACACCCCAATAGTCAGCAACAATGTTAACTATGCTGTTTTTAAAAGAAAAAAAAATAAAGTGAAGGATTGTATTCCCCTGATCTGCTCACTGTGCAGTTGATGAAAGTAGTTATGAATTTAGTGACTGAGGCTGAACCTGCTGTTAGAGGCAATAGAAGCTACCTTCCACAAATATCTAAAAATAGGGTAACCATGCCTGAGTATGGAAGCTCCAGGTGTGATTTTGGAGACTTCACAAGTATTTCTGTTACTGAATACATATCTGTCATGTGGAAAAAGTGGTCTAATCTCAGCTGTAAATGCTGAGAATTACATGTCACTTCCCTTCAAGCAATAAATGTTCTTTTGTCTATTTAGATTTTGTTATATGTTTTTCACAATAATTCCTAACAGTGCGCTATGTCATTAAAATACCAAAATCCAGTAAGTCAGCTGGCAATAAATGGAAAAATAGAGATCCATAGCAAAGATTAGTGGTATCTAAAAGTGGTTTATGGGTCCTAGTGGGATTCCTCCTTTTTTAACAACAAAGTGCAGAGTGAAAGAATATGCACAGCTTACTTTGTCTTCCTATTTCTTTTGATCTGAAAGAACAATCAGATAAGGCTGATTTCTGAAGACAGTTCAGAATGAACAGATCTCAGTTGCCCCCAGTGATAACCATCATTGTCAACAGGAGGCATTCCAGGTACTGACACTAGAGCCTTAAATGTTCAGATACTGAACATTTTATCTTTTATTTTAAAAACTACTGCTGGGAACTCTCTTTATAGAATGCAATGGATGATGAGTATTTAGAAGAAGAATGAACCCTGAAGGAGAATAAAGCTCAAGCCTCAGAGACCATCACTGAACACCAGAAGGACAGAATAATTTAAGGTTACGGTGGGGAATTTCATGCACACAGAAAACCTAAATCTGTGAAAAATGGAATGATAGAACTCAGGAGTTACAGTCTACAAAATGAAAATTAAAATCATTTAAAGGCCTTGGCCCTAATGGGCTTTTGTCCAGGTTAGTGAACATTCTGTCAGAGTTCAGCAACACTAAGTGCTTTTTCATAGGGAAGACTCAGAACTGCAATATTTTGCAAAGATGATAATCAAAGTTGAGGAGTCTGGATTACACCGGTATGCAGAAATGCTAATAGGTGACTTCTGTAAGCCATATCACTTAAAAGTGCTATCAGTCTCTCTACACACCATCTTCAGCTCTCAATCTTTGAAGAAAGTATTGATTTTTGGCAGGGTGTGACAACTTGGTTTTACATGACTCAGGTACATTGTACAAAGCTCACTGAGCAAGGCAAAATTCCAGGCAGTTGCTATGAGAACCAACTGTTTACAAATATAAAATTTATAATATTTTTTCTAGTTTACGGGTACTAACACCTCACCTGTTGTACAATGCTGCTGATTTTTTAAATTAGTAGTTAACTTTGTGATCATCTAAGTTGGTATTGATAGTTTAACGAACTTCAAAAATATAAAAAAAATACTATTATCATTAATCAAGGATAATGAGCTTTGAATGAGCAGATGCTAATGAATTAATGGTCAGAGGTTTTTTTATGTGCTTGTAATTGCTACTGCAAAATACTTGTTATTCCTCATCTATTCCTCCTTTAAATAATTTGCTCTGCCTACTAAACCTGGATATTCAACCTAAACACATTGGCTCCTATCCCCCTGCTGGTGCCATTGTTGCTTTCATGGGGTTTGGATGAAGGCCTTAGTCTGTTTTTACTCTCATAACTGGAGCAGAGTTTAATTTCAGAGAGTTTCCAAATAGGAGCTCCGTAAACATATTTTTCCCCCAGCAGAGAAGAGAAACATGGAATTGCTGTAGGTTGAGTCAAACTATACTGTTATTTGTGAGTGTGTGGGCAACATTTCTTTTGTTTAAATCTAAGAATATCTTAAAATTATATAACTTTTACTAGTGTCTGACCAGACTTCAGTAGAACGTAGTGAATCTCGTAGTCCAGTAGAATTTATCAGTGTTGATAGATCAAATTCAGGTGCTGATGAGTTAATGAACAGGTTTGTTATTATGGATGTCTGTGAGTAATAAAGAAGATAAATCAAAACATATGTTTGAAAGTCACAGTCATTGACAAGTAGAACTAAAGGTCTCTCCTCTTCTTCCTCCCTCCAATACCTGGATTTGTTCCTTCATCCTTGCATCAGTTTCTACTTGTGTGAGAAGTGTGCAGCTTTTAGGACACATTGAGTGTGTCTCCTTGGGTTGGCTCTACCTACAGGCACTCTTGAGGCCACACTGCCTGGTTTCCTAAGCACCCATGAATGCCTGTTTCTTCCCCAAATTTCCTTTTTTGGTAAGTTACTGCCAGTTCTGACCTGCAAGGAAAATGCAGTTCCGTAACTTTCAGATATATCCCTCAAAGTTGATGAGAGTCTTTCTGCAAGCAGATCAGAGCAAGTCAAGTTAGGAAGCACCAGATTACTTTTGGGAATTCCATGTGTGTCTCTCTGGCATTCATTTTTTGTATCACGCAGCAGTGATATCTGTCAGGTAATGTTCCAGGAACACAGGTGTAAGCAAAGAGTTGTACGCAACAGGAATGTAATTACTTGGCGCACTACACAAAAAAGGTTGCAATGATGGCAGGTGGGGAGTATGATTTCTCATTTATGTATCTTGAAACAATTTTTTCAAATGCAAATGTAATGTACCAGGTGCAAAAGTAAAGCAAATAATTGCTTTGGCTCATTGTGCTTTGCAGAACAGTTTCTAAATAGATATATGTGAAGGCAATTGAAAATACTGTATAGAAAACATTTTGGGAATGCCTGTGCACTTTAAGATGGGTTCTAGGTTACATAGAATTCAATTTGTGATGGTGAAATACATTTTAAAGAGAAGCACCTAACCTGTAAACCTGAAGAGACTGTTCTCTTTAAATAAGCATAATCAAAGCCAGCTGGGACTTTTTGAATTTTGACAAGATTTGTGTTTATTGAGCAGATAAACCATTATGCTGGTGTTCTCTACTGCTAGCAAATATGCACCATTAGGTAACTGGAAATTGAAACTGCACTGTGGGTTTATTTAAAACCAGAGAGCGTCTTGCACTTAGAATACATAGAGCAAAAACCTGCTGCAGAAACTCCTCCATATTTCCCCCAACCCAAAATGCCAAAACTCTCATAATGTAGAGAGTTTTTATCAACAGCACTGATCTGAAATCCCACCTTGCTGATCTTTTGTCATAACTGCAAAGCCTGTATATTGCTTTAATTTTTATGTTAAGTTATACAGTGTTGACATATTCTGTAGCCCTCCCATGACAGGGCAATATGAAAACCTCTCTTTCCATGCCTACCAAAGAAATCATTGGGGTTAAATGACAGGGCTCTACCAGTGATTTGCCTGTCACAGGGAACTGTAAATTGCAGCCTGTCTCCAGGATAGTGTTTAGACACATTCTGAGATTAATGGTTTTGCATAGACACTTTGGACTTCAAATGATTTTGAGATAAGTTCCATCAAGAAGATTCTCCAGTTAGACCTCAACTGAAAGTGATTTGCATTTCAACTCTGTTTATACAGACAGAATCTGATGCAAAACCGAAATGATGTCTCATATGTTCCAGACTACATACAATTTTTCACCTCCAGTTTAACTCTTTGTGACAGATTTCTTTTTTATGGTAGTTCTTAACACTTTCAGATAACAGCACTGAGACATCTTATTTACGTGACTGAGCAAGTCATATCTTTTCTCTTGAAGGAGCACAGCTAGGAAGGAAGGTCTGTATCCTAAATCTAGGGAAGAGGAAACTAAACGTGTATTAATCTCCTGGGAAATGCATTTAAGAATGTGATAATTCATTCACTTTTCAGAATCTGAATTAGTAATTGATATGTGTTCTGCAGCAAATGAGATATTATAATTCAGGAACTCTAACTTTAGACCAAGGTAATAATAAGGTTTCTTTTTTGTTTAATGGGGAAATGAGAAAATGTTTGTCAGAAGAATGTAATGAAAGCAGGTATTCCTTTTTTCATGTATTCTATAGTCTCCTGATTAAAAAAAAAAAAACCCACCCTTTATTATTTTTAATTGGTTTTCAGCTCTTCTAATAGGTACTCAATGTTGTTTGTTTTCAATAGTATAGTATAGACAGATGCCACAGCAGAACGAGCATTATGGACTAAATATTTATGTCTTAAGTAACCTGAAGTTCCTCTATGCTACCTCTCCCCCCTGAGCTAAGAAAGACAATCCCTTATTACCTAAGCAGGCTTTTTTAAAAGATATATTGCATTATTGACCAGATATACAGCAGCAAACTCTGACAGTGTGCAAGTGTAACCCCTTGTGTTACATGGAGTAGGAATTTTCCTGTTGGATGGCACCCAGTGTCTGCCCTGGTCACCTTAGGCTCAGTGCAGTTACATAGCATCAGGTTTCTTAGGCATATCATGTGATTAGAGGAGAATTAGGTCTTTTCAGGAAAAAAATTTTAAAAGCTCTTCTTTACAAAATGGCATGCAGATTTGTTCCAATATTTATAGAAATGTTGTCATGATTTTTTCATTTAAGTGTTTGAGTTTTTACATATATCTGTGATTTTTGTTTAAAATGTTTGTGTGAAACATTGATTAAGATATGCAGAAGACTGAGTTGAAAACAGATGGATCTGAATAGCCGGTTGGAAGTTTATTAATTTAATATACCAAATATTAGATGGTGTCTGTGCAGGAAGTTGCAGGACTCCTTCCATAACATCTTACAGCAGATGTATACTGTCTTCAGCCAGTCTGCCAATTATTTGGGTGCTCTTTCTCCCTTGTGTCAGGTAAATAACCTAGAAGCTGGTCACTACAGGTAACCAGGACCTCACATTACTGAAGTACCAGTATCCACTAGGAGAATGCATGAAAATTCCCATGTATAGGAGCAAAACCACTGGATTTTTTTTCCAGTGGGCACAGGCCCCAGCCTCCTAGTAACTGATTAGCACCATACTCTTTAAAAGCCATTAAAAAATAAAAATTTCTTCCATCCCTATGTAAGACAACTAGATCCAAACCACGCCAAACCAAAATCAATTTGGGTGTGCCAACTGGATAGAGCTACAAGGCTCAGGGGCAGAGCTCCTGTAGCAACATTATAGTTCAGAGTTCATGTGACAAGTAGAAGTGAGGGGCTTCTGAAGCCCTAGGGTGAAGGTGAATTCCTTTAGATTATGAATGCAGGAAATTAATGTATAAGCCTCTATTTCCCTTTGTCAGAGAGGAGAAGCCATCTTTCAGGAGAAGTCAGTTTTGTGTTAGTCAGTAACATGCATGATTTTCTCCTTTAGAGATTGAGTTGCTCAGATAATGAGGTGACCTGCAATTGCCTTCACTTGCTGAAAACTGGACAGGCAAATAAGTATTTCAGTTAAAAAAAAAAAACCAAACAACTCAGAACTCCAACATGGCATATTAGCATCAAAAAATTCAACTCTAATAGCTTGTTTGTTTTAATGCGGCTATGGAATGTCATTACACCTTTATTTTTTTTAACAACCAGATCTGAAGTTCACAAAAATTATAAAGCACTAATAAGTGTATGTAACAAATCCTATTCTGAATGTGATTAGTGCATGCCCCTTGCTAATGTCAGCAGCTATTTTTAGTGGAGAGCATTTGTAAGACCTGGCAGAGAACTCTTGAAATGTCAGGAGGGTAAGAGGAAGCATAGCAGAAGCCAAATACATAGATAAATATGTTAGAGGATTTTAATACTAAGTCCATCATTTTTTAAAAGAGAAAATGCAGCTGTCTTGAAACTGACATGGTAGATCATAGTTCCCTTCTCAAGTCATAGATATTATTCAGACATGAAGTAATTACTTGAATTTTAGAAAGAAGCTTGATTTCCTTATAAAAGCTTGTTCTCCCTTTCCCATCTTGTTTACAGGCAGGTGATTGTTAAGCAGCATGTTTCACTCTACTACTAAGTGTGTGTTACACTTGCATAATTTCTTCCTGACAGAAAGATCATCAAGATTTGCCTCAAAATACTTAAGGTTTATATTCTGTCTTACACACCAAAAAATGTACCTATCCAAACCTCCTGGAAGCTGTAAAAGGAAGGGCAGTTCTTTTATAGCATTGTTGCAGAACTCAGGAACATTTTATCATTTTATTTGATACAGTAATACCTGCTCTTTGCAAGGTATACTTTATTAACAATATTTTCATAGTGAAATATATGGGTCAGATTTGTATGCAGCAGTATTTCAAGCACATCTTTCATCTCATGAGGATTCTCATTTCTGATAACTAATTGTATATTTCTATTTGCATAAAGCCATGAAAGCTGCTGAGTCGTTATTGGTACAAAACTTGATACCTCTTAAGATTAAATAATTCAGCTTTTCAGTAGTGCAGGGATAGCACTTTCCTCTTTGATAAACATTGCACTCACAGATTTCGTGTCATCCAAGCTCATTTTCACTTACACATTATGCAGAGTTTTTTGTTTGCTGGGTAGGTGTTTTCTAAAAGTCTCCTGTGTAGTTCCCATTGTAAAGTGAGTCCTGTGTCCTCTACACTTAATCAGTTCTGGTGTCTTCACATCAGAACTCTGTCCTCAGAAATTACTCTGAATCCCTACAATTATTAAGATCTCTTTAGACAGACTCCAGGCATCAGGATCACCAGGAACAGAAAGCCTCCAAATATCTTTGTAGCATACTTTTCTCATTGGCTATTGAAAAACTGCAGGAACTATACCATTTTACAGATGTTACATGCTTCATTGGTTTGCAGGAAAGTAATTTTCATCCTTTGAAAGTAGATCAGGTTATCAAAAATTACACTCGGATCTGAAGATACAATGGACCATCCAGGTAAACAAATTACGTAGTAACGATCAAAAAAACCAACTCTAAGTCCTCTTCAATTGCAGTGCATGTTCTGAGTATTAAAATATAGGATTTATTGATAGTCCGATTTATTTCTGCTTAAAATAGAAATGACAGGACCGTGGTGGAAAATGGAAAAAAATAGCTTAAGTTGATGAATGCAGTCAGCAATTTAAAATGTGATGCATTTTATTGTTTTAAAGCAATTT